GAGGGGAGGAGGAGGGGAGGAGATCGAGGAGGGGGAGGGAGGGGAGAAAGGCATTGTTATTGTAGGGTGCTAGTGGTGATGATGATGATATAATGTAAGTCTCCATCTACATTTTGTTGTTTATTTCATACCTCACAGTTGATGATGATGACGATGATGATGATGATGATGATGATGATGACGATGATGATGATGATGATGATGATGATGATGATGATGATGATGATGATGACAGCCCAGCTTCCATCTACTTTTTGTCTTTTTTTTTCATAATTGCTGCAATGTAGCTTCAGTTGATGCTGGTGGTTATGATGATGATGATGATGGTGTTGATGATGATGATGATGTTTGAAATAAAGAGTTTTCAAATGTTTCACATATTTTCTCCCTATAAGAGGAATTCCGTCTTGTACGTGAAAACTACAATTTTTTCTCTCTATTTTTGAGAGAGAGAGAGAGAGAGAGAGAGAGAGAGAGAGAGAGAGAGAGAGAGAGAGAGAGAGAGAATGCGCGCGCTCTTTGCAAGTACATCTTACGATGCGTGCGTACGTGAGTGTGTCCGCGCGCGCAAGCATTATGTAATATGTGCCAGCATAATTTATGTGTGTGACTGGGTTTGCAGGGTAGTCTGTGGCTAGGTCCACGCGGTATTTGAACAGTCACAAATGTGGGTCACATTAGTCACAAAGGGGGCTGAGACGTATCACAGTCACGATATATCTCTAAACCACCTCCTTGTGCTTATCAGCAGTTCAATTCGCTCATATAACCTTATGCAGTTGCAAGCGCCGCGAAACACTTAAAAAAAAAAAGAAAAAGAAAGGACGATAGATGTTTGGTGGGAAAGAAGAAGCAAACCACACAGGAGCACCCATCAACTACCCACGAGGAAAGGACGGAAAAAAGAAATGTAAGAAAAACAAGACAGCATTAGATAGGGAGATAGCAGCAGAGTATCAGTATCACTAGTATCAGTATCAGACTAGTGCATCGGAGCGGAGAGATACATTTATGGCGTGAGACTACAGTGCTACATTTCACGGATCTTGGGCGCTGAACTTTCTTGTTGCTTATTATGTACTACAGTTTGATTATAATATAATGATATTGTTACAGTCAAGAAGAGGCTGGGGTGGGAGGGG